GGAGGAACACTGCTACTTGCTTCACAGTTTTGCAGAATTTGAAGCATTAGCTCGCAGAGCTCTTCATGAAGGTATGGCATCTTGTCATAATGACACTATCATTTCAGGCCCTGTACAGAGCATGGGGGTGCAAGTGGGAAAACTTTCAAGAGGTACAGCACAGGTCTCATGAAATGATTTGCATAGATTTTTTCCTCTCCTTGTTTTGTCATATTGCCTATGTCCAACAAAAACAGGCATATCTCGGGTATTAAGACAAAATTAATACTCTGAGCCTAATTTTCTTTGATACGCATTTGCAGTTTCCATTAGATCAGATTCAACTCTCCATTTTGCCTGAGTAAGTGTCAAAGTTTGTGCTAGCGGAAGGTTTGCCTGATTAAGGATTGAGACTTACTAAGATACTGTTCTGCCTAAAGGTACAAATTGGTATCTGGTAAGAATTCAGAATTTGCTTAAGTATCCATCTATCCATAAGCTCTTACTGTCTAATACATAAAATTAATCTCTTTCTCTTCCTTCCCCTCCCCCATGTAAACGTGATTCATTTTTTAGGTATGAAAATGCAACACTTCTTTTTTCTGATGTTTACCTTAAAAATAATTCTCCCTAGACAAAAGGGTTAAAATAGCAACTAAGAATGTAAGGCTAGTTGTTTTCCTATTATAAATCCAGTGTATTATAGTCTTAAATGGAATTATACAAAGTATATCAGCTGAAGATCCAGCCCTTTGTATTTTATTTATTTTTTATTGATTAGTTTAACATGGAAAAAGTTACAGTACTTCCAGGTTGTTCTGGGATGCAGGTAGGCTTTTAGATGATTCTTTTTTTGTTGGTGGGGAGGGAGTAAAGGAGGATTTTTATTTCATTTCTATTTTTTTACAGTTAAACAGCAACCCATGGACAAATTGCTCTCTTGGTGCCCAAGGCAGTACCTATCAGAGTCGGCAGAAATCTTTCCAATCATTTAAGCCAAAGCTGTTTCAGGCCCGTATCTTTTTATTTCCTGCATGGAAGCCAATAGCTTAGTCTTAGTAAGGGAAAAAAGACACCAAGGACTTGGGATTTTTGCACAATAGTCTCTAGTGAGCATTCTGCCTGACTAAAAGATTCAGACTTTGGCTTGGGCAGACCAGGTTCTTTGGGTAGATGTGATATCTTTTATTAGACCAACTACATAGTTGGAAAAAAAGTTCTTTGCAAGTTTTTGGGTATAACCACCCAATTATAACACACATGCACAATTGGTAATTAATTAATGTTGTTGAACATCTTATCAATCAAAAAAAAGTGTTTGTACCTGAAAAGCTTGCAAAGAACAATTTTTCCAACTGTTTAGTTAGTTTAATAAAAGATATCGCGTTTAGACCAACACGGCTACAGCCAAGACCCCCCGAGACTTTGGGTTGTACATTTGTATGAACTGAACTATTTCCTCATGTTGTTGTTGTTACCCCTAGTGAATACAAGTTTGATAAGATGTTCAGTGACATTAATTAATTACTAACTGTGCATGTGTGGTTATAATTGGTTTGCTTTCAGATCTGCCCTCTGGCAGTTACATTCAAGAAGACATATCCCATTGTTCATATCTTTGTGAGGCAAATGAAAACTGCTGCGATATCATGGCTAGCTGCAAATGTGGCACTCACACTGGCCAATTTGAATGCATCTGTGAAAAAGGCTACTACGGTAAAGGACTACAGCATGAATGTACAGGTAAGTATCTGTTTTCATTTTTCTCAGTTTATTCATATACCTTGAATTTGAGTGTAATTGAATCCAGTGAGGTCAGTTACAATTCTGTATCAGATCTAGGACTGAAACTGCTTTAAAGTTTGTTAAAGTCAATGGAAAAACTGTCATTGACTGCAGTAAATTTTGGATCAGACCCTACTATATGTTAAGTGCAAATGGTCATTATGTTAGTCATGGCAGATTGGGTACTCTTGAATTGTCCCACACTGGCTTTTACTTAACATAGAAGAAAAAGGTTTTGGTCACTAAGCAGAAACTTCATCAAATCTCAGTGATTTTTGTTTTGTTTTGTTACTGCTTTTATGAACAGTCCCTCTAGGGGTGTTGAGAGAGAGAAACAATGCTATGACTGAAGAAAGCCCTTTATTGCACATCAGAGCAAAAGCATGAAAGCCCTGAATTTGGAATTCCAGATTCCAAAAACTATTGCATTAATAATTAACATTAATAATGTTAAAATAAAGACCTATATAGTTGATTGATAGATGGTGTTTTATCTGGCTAGTTATTTTTCATAACCTCTAGAAGGTTCTACCTCTAGAAGTAAGGAAGTTGATTAGGTCAGGCGTTTTCAACCTCTTTAAACAAGTGTACCCCATCTGTCTCAAAGTTTCAGCTCCTGTACCCCTTTATATATTTTTTCCTGTTTTTTAAGGGGCAGGGTGGGGGGTACAGATTGAGGCCCCCACAGTGAGGAAGGAAGTGAGGCCTGGGGCAGATGCAGGCGCTACACAGCCAGGGCGGAGCATGGGACAGAGCCATGAGCAGCTCATCTGGGGGGCAGGGGGATGTGGCTCACACTGCCGCGGCCCACCCTGAGCACAGCTCGGCCCAACCCCCCCACCGGGAACTTCCCGGCCCCAGCCCACAGTGGCAGCCTACCCTCACCCCACACACACATCCAAGGGCACACACCCCCATCCTGGGGGTGCACATAGCAGCAGAAGCTGCCCCCTATTCCCATGTGGCTCAGTCCCATGCCCCACCCCAGCTGAGCTGTGCCTGCCCCAGCCTCACTTCTTCCCCCACTGCTGGGGCCTCAATCTGCCCCTGCCCTTCCCTTCTCACCCCTCATAACAGACTTACCAGGTGGACTCAGCTGCTCTCCATGCTGCCAGGCTGCACTCCTGGCCTCTTGCATGCTGTGCTGTCTGCATGCGGCTTTTATCTGTCACATTATTGGCCACATCAGTTCTGCATACCCCCTACAACCCTTTCAAGTACCCTTAGGGGTACGTGTCCCTGGCTGACAACTGCTGGATTAGGTCATGGGTAATTTGTGAAATACTGTTTTCAAGTTGGGAAATAATTAATGGTAAAATCTAGATGGATGGATTATGTATCTATATTATGGGTCTAGATGGAAGTATTAGCCATTCTGTCACTGCAAAAGCCCTTTTTTATAACAAATCTGAGTTTACTTTCAAGTTTTTCAAGTTTTCTTTCAAACAAATAGTCAAAGGAAATGCTTTTTAATATATTGAAGCAATTACTTGCATGCTTGTTAATAGATTTGTAAAAAAGACATGCAAGTGTTGTCCAACTGTATTAATTTGTATAGGAAAAGTCTTAATCATGAAAACACATCTGAATACTCTTTTTATATGCTGGTTACAAGAAGCAATTACTCTGCAATTTTGTCAGAAAAATAAACTAAAGGTAGTTATTACTGATTTATCCTCAGATACTCACCTACTCTCTTCATATGTGATCAGATTTCTTATCAGTTGTTTCTTAAAATAACCTTCTGCTGTAATTTATATACACAAGAGTAAGCTCATATTTCATCAGGGCCATGTTGGTTATTCAAATAAGGTTTCCTTAATGTTATAATTCCTACCAATTTTTTTGGGGGGGGACTTCATTTGTTCCAATTGTGGAATGATCAGGGCACCAGTAGATCTGAGGCCTAAATGTGAACATCTTCATGGGGAGCATAAACAAGGTGTAACCTGCCAAAAAATAAGGTTGAGATGCACCTTGCAGACTAATTCAGAGATGCATAAGCTTTCATAAGCAACATTTTCACCTTGTCAGATGCTATAAAAAGGGCTTCCAGGAAGTAGGCATTCAAATAGAAATGCTTGCTGCCCCACTCCCCACCTCGGTTACACTAGTAGTAATGGATTTTAAAGCCAGGTGGGTAAGGCAACAGGGCAGAATTAAGAATGGCATGAAAATTCTGGTGTGTAGCTTCACTTGTTGTCAGTGGATGTTATTAATTTCACTGACACTGTACCCGCTCACCTGAGGATCTGGTCTTTTAATTTTCAGATTTTTGTTTTCAAGTATAATTCATTCTGCCAGGTATTCTAACGAAATACATTCTTGCTCTTAATTTGGGGGGGGATGTTTGTTTATCTTGATTTCTTTGATTTAGCTTTGCAAGTGGGAGTGTGCTTATAGCTGCTCTTGTGTCACCCAAATAAAATAGGACAAACTCCTTCCAACACTTTATTAATAATCTAGAAAGTAAAACATTGTTTCTAAGTACTCCAAAAGTCAAATAAGGTTCTTAGAATTGGCTATTAGAATTAAGGTCCTTTTTCATTAAAATTAAAATCCTTTGCTTTATCCTTTGTTCATAAAAACATCTTCTGAAATGTGAACGTATGTTTTGGGCATCACTGAACAAAAGCAGTAAAAGCCTGTAACTTCGTTAAATGCATTATTAGTGACCGCCAAGGGAAGTGTCATTTCAGTAAGCACATCAACAATTATCTGTAAAACAGATGTATAAAAAAGGTTTCCTGTGTTTCATGTAATACAAGTGATGTGCCAAATTCTTCCATCAGCCATGTGTGCGCCTCATCCAGCGAAGCTGATGAAAGCTGCACATGTGTCTGAGAAGAGAATTGGGTCTGCTTTTATGAACATGACCTGCTTTGTTCCAGTCACTTACTTTTTTCCTAATAAGTGATGTAAAACAAGAGACAAAAGGCCACATGGGCTGCTTAAAGCAAAAACAGCATATTTTGAAATCTTGTTCTGATGCACATTCCAGCATTTTTTAACATTCCCCAGCTGAGCATAACTGTGGGTTTGTAAAGTATGAGGAATCCACAGAATGCGTGCTAGCTCCTCTTCTTCATAGTATCATGTACGGGAATGCTGCTGGAAGTTTACATTGACAGGACTTAGTGATCAACTGTGATTTATTGTGCTACTTTTTGTTTTTAATTGTTTAAGCTTGATTTATGATCATATTTAATACAGAGTGTTGCGTGCATTGAGTTTTAATCAATATAAGAACTGATTCTGTGCCTGTAACATATCTAACCTTACTTATTAAAATAATATGTGTGCGCCTTATGGTATTCTGTGGTTTAGAAACGTAGTTTAAAGTATTAGCTGTGAAGCACCAAAATTAGCTATGTGAAATAATACACAGTGTTTGCTTTCCTGATTACCTGAAAATATCCTGTAGAAAGTCTCCATAAAATAAAATGGGACCCACATGTTCAATGTGAAAGGGTAGAAATTGGCCCTAAATGTCCTCCTGTTCTTTATAGTACCGTTGATGGTGTGCCATCTAAAACAGAACAGATGGAGTGTTCTCTGGTTTACTAAACCTAATGAGACTGGGGCGAGTCCTGCTTCACACAGGAATCCCACACCACCCGTAAATTTCCATGACAACTGTGGAAAATAAAGCTTTTGGGATGCAAAATATAGAGAAGATAATGGGGGGAAAAAAGTGAGGTGAGACAGTCTGAGAATGCCAGTGCTGAATTATACTCAAGAGGAATGTATG